CACAGACTGTCTTGTCTTTCAAAAGAAAATGGAGAATCAAGAGGCTCCGGATCTCTGTAATGATGTTTAATTTTATTGAAACAGGAAAACAAAGGGAAAAAAATGAATGTGCTTGCGTTGAACAATACATTATAGAAAAACATGGTGAAGCACTAGGACTCCTGGTGTATTCTTGAATGACAGCAAATGTAGTAACAATAATTCTTCTTTGATTAATTCACTTTACCTTTAACTTCATTTTCTCTAATGCAGTATCCTTCAGCTAAACCTTAAAGTTAAATTTACATATGCAAAATATAGTTATACTTTCATGTGTTCCTCTTGTTTTGCTATATTAGATATTATTAATGACTTAAGGTGTCACCAAAGTCATAGCTTTAGAACTCAGAAGCTATTTCTGGTGATTTTTCAGTAAATTTGCCTTTTTCATTTTGAAAATTTTGTCGTGTCCTTAAGATTTTAGGCTTTGTATGGTCGATGCTAAGCACTGTGGAACCATTAACATGTCTGACAGATTTTTCTTTAGTGACTGACACTTCTGTAGAAATTCTTTCTTGCTCCATCCCCAGGCTGCCATGGCCTTAACTGTAATCTTCCATTCTGTTTTATATTTCCTGCCGTGAGTCATCAGGTATACATAAACACTTTCAAGTCTATCGACTCCAAGCCAGATCTATCACTGAGCCTCTACTCAAACTTCTTAAGCCTGAATAAACAGAGACTTCACCAGACGCCCCTCCTGCGCCACCTCAACGCTTAAAATGTCACTGTGACATATCATCAGCTTTACTCAACACTGACTTTTTGTCTCTGGGTAAAAGATTATCAGCAGCTGTTGTTTTGTATTAAAAGTCAATACCAAACTGTTCCTCTGGGTTTCTTGCCAGCAGGTTACTGGAGAGCCCGACAGGGGCACAAATCTATTTCTGGTTCACTGACTGACAGGATGGGACTGGAGCTGGCTGCACAACTATGACAAGCAATGAATATTAGGAAAAAACCAAACTTCCAGAAAGAAAAAAATGAACACAGAATCCAAATTAAATGCAGGTAGAAAGAATATGAATCAATTTAAGTTTCCCTGCATAAACATGTATTTACTTTTTCTGTCTTTTGCCTGAATAGTGACTTTTTAAGGTCGTAAGGGGTTAAACAGTATAGCTGGAGTCGCATTTGACTTGATGCTACAGACTAGAGGTCCATTAGGTGTACCAGTTCTCTTCTATCTCTATATGGGTCCTATTGATATCTCAGCACACTGACAAGAACTTAAGACTGAAACTGGAAGTGAGGACTTTTGAAGTCAACAGTACTACTTGAGTCTTTGAACTTTCCCTGAAGCAGCTATGCAGCCCAGTGTGTTCCGCAGATTCATAACAGAAAGACACCCACACACTCTCTGTCGTGTGTTTGTAGAACTAGCCTAGCTCCAACTTCAAAATAACCCTGCACTGCTGGGTGCGTGGTCGCTCTGCAAACCTTCAGCACCACATTGAGGTTGGAAAACTGTCTCTATACAACACGTTCTCACTCCCAAAGCGTAACATTTTAGGCTAGGTGACAAATCGTCAACATATTACGTTTTCGGCTACCCACCACGTTCCTAAATGACGACCTCGGAAAAATGAGGAAATATGAGAACCGTATGGACTCAATCTACACATGTTCGCTCTTTTTCTTCAAA